CGAAATGTGGGGGGTGATGTCCACCGAAATCATTCCAATCGTTATGTCGGTGAACGGTCTTATACCGTACCAGTCTGGAACAACATCTCAGACGGTTGGGATTCCGAGGCGGCTCACTCCCGGGAAAGATGGAGAAAGCGGTGCTGTTAGATTCTGCCCGCATTGTACGCCGGTTTCTCTCCCTGGGGCCCTGAACCCCGGCCGACTGTGCTTCTGCCGGGGGTATGTTGCCATCTCCTCTCCTTAAGAGGGGAGATGAGAATTTTTGGGAAAAAAAAATAATAATAATAATCTTTATTAAATTCAGAAGGATCGTTACAATATTATTTATACAATAGGTACACATTCCAGACAATATCAATCCTTTCAGTATTTATGTGTAGTCCTGGCTTCTGAACTAGCATTAGCCGTATGACAGAAGCCAGTTCCTTCCCAATACATGTACTTTTATTATAGAAGGATGAAAATTATTATAACATGATATATATAAACAATATTTTATCAATAGATACATATTTAAAAATCGAAATTATAAGAAAAACAAAGGTGTTGAAATAAACATAACATTTTGCACTATATTGTGTGTGTCTTATGTACAAGTATGATGTAAGTGTGTTTATATGTATGTATGATGGATATGTAGGATAGGCAAATTAACTGTATCACTCATATTCGTTCGTGAAGAATCCCGACTTGCTGTTGCCATCATGTTAGTGATATGGGTAAGAATTTCTGCCGTTATCATTACAGTAGAATCATGAAGAATCCTAAATATTGTACTTACGTTACTGAAGTGAAAAAAATAGATCATTTACCTGTTTGTTTATGGGTTTCTGGACGCTAATCAACGAATAATAATTTCAGGTATCTGAAATAGCATCAGCCTTCATGGATAATATACCGCTGACAACCATGATGGTACGGGTCACTGTTGCCTTGGCAGATCCCATGGGGCTGGGGCTACCATTAGCACCATTGGCTTGGGCGTTGAGCTCTGGTGCCTGCCTTGGAGATAAAGTAGAGTACGATATATAATATTTACACTAATCAAATTTCTAATTCTATAACTAGAGTTTAAATCTTAACATAATCCAAACCTATACTCTATCTTGGATTTCTGATTGTAAAAAACCGTATACGTGGGTACCTAAGTCTCACTTATTTCAGCTGAATCACAGCATACAGAGTTGTGATTCAGCTGAAATAGGTCAACTGGTTATGAGATTACGAGACGACTGTGCCACTAGTTGGAATGGTATATCCTCCTCATTTCTAAAACAGTTCATCGATATTCCCTTAACCTATATCTGTAACCTAAGTTTAGTCAACAGCACGATTGGAAAGGTTTTTCAACGATTTGAGTCGTTTATCCCTAAATAATTGTAATATAATTTCGTTTGCAGATGATACTTTGCTTTACTGGTGAGTCCTGGCCTGACGTCTTTCAAATTGCTCAATACACTCACACTCAACGCTAAATACGCTACGCTAACATAACTTTTTTAATGCGAAATAACACTCAGCCTGCAACCTTTTCTTAATTGCATACGGGGAGTATGACATCCAGTGTAAGGACCCGGAACAGGACATGTGCATAAAACTTGAAAGGACAAACTCCAATACATATCTAGGAATTATAGTCGATCGTAACCTAAACTTCGTTGAACACATACTGAATTTAACCTGCAGAGATATATTATGCACTCTGTCAATCCCTGTTCCGGTATTGTATTACCATATAGGATGGTACTAACAAGACAGCAATGATTGCTTTGGAAAGGGCAGCTATAGCTGTAATAAACGTGGCCACTTTCCGTCCTATTAGATATCCTACCTATGATTTATATCAATCATACCAGGTGCTCACTGTGAGCCAACTGTGTATTTTAAACACCATTATCAGAAAACACTCCCTTGAGGTATAAACCCGAGACTGCAGCGGTTCCATGCCTAAACGGAGGAAACAGAATATTTGTAGCATTCCCAAATTTAAAAGCTCATTTATAGAAAGATTAATTTGCTACCTAGGTAACCTCCAGTACAACAAAATAAATAAAATATTTATTAATATTAACTCCTTGTCAAAAATTCTATGTAAAAAGTGTATCAAAACCTGGCTAAAAAGTTAAGTTATGACGAAACAGAAAACTTTATACTGTAAATGCAATATACCTATAACTGAAATACTATAAAGAAAGTTTGATTACGTGGTTATCGGCATATAATGATTTATTTATCTTTAACGGGCTTTGTGTATTTTTATTGTTTCCTTTTTTTATTGATTATCTAATGTTATGTTAAGTAGTATGCATGTTATTATGTTGTGTAAAAGCAAATGTTAATAAATGAAATATTATGCACCCTGGGAAGGTATGTGACATCTGAGATACAATATAATTCTATACTAGTTCAGATGGCACAATTACATTTGTATGTTCAAATTTTATTGACTGTTATGTACAACTTATTTATGTAACACAATCTACAACTGCAATAAATGTTTTTATTATATTATTATTAATTTCTATGTATAGATAGCAATGCATATCAGATCACGTACATACTTTCGTGCTTACTTCACATACTCAGTGATTGCTTATCGCCATAAGACCGCTTTATATGTGATGCACTTTTAAACATACCTACTGTATTAGTGTACAGTTACTGATGTGTCCGGGTTACGGACACTGATTAAATGATTTCCTTTTAACAATATGCAATAGGATATGCTGATGGTAACTATATTCTAATTTTATTTAAAAATTAATCTGTATTTTTTTAATCCTGTACAGATTTGAAAGCAATAAGAGCTGAGGTTCTTATCAGTTCTTCTCATTCGAAACCTCTCCAACCTGAGGGTAGATTTGACATATAAGAATCTGTAATAGACCTACATGTGAACGTGTGTGAACAATGTGAAGTGAACTGTAAAATTAAACAATCAACAATAATTAAACAAAACCTGGACTATAACAAATAGTGAACTTTGAAAATAGTGTTAAAATAAAATTTCATATAATTGTACCTATATGCAATGTAAGAATTCATAATGTAACAATACAACACAATGTAATGAAAACTGTGAAATTAGTAGTAGTGTAAGATTTATATAATTGTATATGCATATTGGTAAATGTAACAGGCTCCTAATAACGATAGGTGACACTGCATGTTGTCAACTCACCCGGCCGGCCAGCAGTGGTTCTGGGCCAGAAGGATAAGGTCTGCCTCGGTGCCACTGCTAGGCAAATTGTAACATCTCGGCTGGGGGCTCCTCTGGGGTTGTACAAAAGTGGAAATTAAAGAAATATAATAATATTAAAATAAATTAAAAAAAGGTAGGGACGAATATGTCTGTGGAAAATTGTATTTAAAATTAATACTAACTAGAGAATAAATAAAGATATTTTGATTTCATTTGATTTGAGTGTATATACAATATATTAGTGTACCATTATTACTCATACTGAACTTCAGATACCATCACACCAGATTCAGTGACGACCAACAATGTTACCGAAAATGATGCAAAATCAACGCCAGTGTGAACGTCCAGAACAATACTGACAGTAAACTCATTACGCTATTGGGTTAGGTGTCTCCGCCTACGCTATGACGTACTTTGCTGAAGCACTAGTGGATTCCACCATCGTGACAAATCCACCAGGAATTAATCTGGGCGGTATTTGCTTCCACCGGTGGTCAACCTGAGTACAAAAGACGAGAAAGGAGTAATGAAGGCAACATATTGTAGATGTTAAGAAGTTAATTAGATCATGTAGTAAAGTACTGTAAAGATGGAATAAGTCTAAGTAAAATGAGGGAATACGTGTAAATTTAGGATTCCGAACTAAAAAAGGTAAGGTACTGTGTATTACGCAGTATTAATCCGGAACCCACACCACCGATTGTACATTTTATTTATTGTAAGCGACTAACGAGTACATGAGACAAAAAATTAGTAATCAGTTGGACAGGACTTTCCTGTTCATCATCATAATATTATTAGTTTTTCCTATAATATACGCTTTGTTAGTCTCGTTTTCGATCTATATATACATGTTTACAATGAGTGGAACGTCCATATTGTGGTGTTTATTGTTTCTAATAATGATACATCAGAGTATTATGAAAACTTCTGATAATAGTGAGTCTGAACTAAATATATACTTTTTAATTCAGTATTATCCAAGTCGATATAATAAAAGCTTGTTTAGTTTGTTATTCTTTCACGTTCTATCGGTCGAACCGATCCTGATGAAAATTGGCATATTAAAATTAACAGCTGGATTAGAGATGGTCATTAACTACCTTTAATTCCGAGTAACCTATCAAATGGTCCTGACAACGAAGTCCCGGAATAAAGCTAGTTAAAATAGTCATATAAAAACTGTACATTTTTAAACAATTCCAAGTATCAAAATATGTCGTAAACAAATGTTGAGATTTAACATACGAATAAGTACATACATCGTTTTATACTTCGTTTACAGTGCAGCAAATACGTCTATAGTGTATATGTCATAATAAGTAGGTGTCGGGTTATTATTGAATTGGTATTGGTACTTTATTAAAGTTTTAGCACGGGTCTCATACTATTTGTACTAATAAATATAACCTCTATGTCACTCGAGGATAACGGACCATTCTGATGGTGAAGTGATTTTTGAGGTCAATTATACAAATACACAAAAGTATAAATCTCTCCTCTTCATGATATTAGTGTTGATCCTTAGGAATCTACATTTGTAGATAAAAGGGTTGTACCTAGTCATACCTATAGCCTATGGACGACCACTTTCACGTACGTAAGGCACCACTTTGCTCACCGCCAGTAACGTAGATATCCCTCCTCTCATCTCATCAACTTTGATCACGATACATTTTTTAGATTTTCATATGATCGTAAACGGTACATCACATTCTGAAGATTTTGATTACGACTACTATGAAGGGGACATAGTGAATGTAACATGCACTGTACATGACTATGCTGATATAACATTAGACGTTGAGATGATTGAAGAACTTCATAAGAGTAAGTACATACAGTAAACACATAACAAACACCTATTGTGGTGTTTTATCATTTTCTTTAAAATTAAGCCAATAATAATAATAATAATTATACCTAAGGACAATACACACAGCGCTATCTAATCGCAAAGTAAACAGAGCTTGTGTTATAAGTATTAGACAACTGATATATATTTTTTTGTAAATACATACACATTATACATAAAATACGCAGATCAATTCAAACAATCATACACATGATTACAAACGATTGTACCGTGCGAGGAATCGGGCCCGCGACCATCGGACGTAAAGCGGTGTGCTAAATCGCTAGACCACCGAGGTCGTCAATAAATAAATAGGAGTAAAAACATTTCATAGGTATAATTAGTAAAAATCACGAGATCTTACCACGTTTTATATTTATTTACTGAGTTCCCGATATTTCGGTAGTGTTTCAACCACCATGATCACGGGTAGACTGAAGAGCAGCGGGTATATGGAAAATGAAATCTTTTTATAGGCAGACATATGCGTCTACCTTCACACGTCTTCGTTTGTTGCTACTACTGGAAACTCGCTCGATATTCATCTCGGCAAACTGTACTCACAGTATCTTTACGTACATTTAATACACTTTTTGATCGCGTATTTTGTTTTTGTTTAATTAAACCAATCACTGGATTCCAGGCATTAGAGAGCCTATAGCCGTCTTCTCGATTGAAATTTTTATATTTCTGTATTTCAATGGCCTCTCTAACCATTCTTGGGATATAATGCCGTTCTGATGTTAACACTTTTGGTTGGTGTAGTTCAACTCAGTAAATAAATATAAAACGTGGTAAGATACGGGATCTTTTTTTTACTAATTATACATATAAATAATGACCGCGTCAAGTTTAAAACAGTATAAAAACATTTCAATGGCAAACATTGGGGCATAAGACTTTTGGCGTTTAAAATTTTTATAACAGACTTTGTAAGGAGTCGTCTGTGTCGTCGTACCTCGGACTCGCCTGTTTCCGTCGCCAAACAGCTTCATTTGTAAGCTGCGTAAAGTTAGAGATAAAGCGAAAGTATAGAATATAAAAGTATAATATGATATATAAGACCTCCGGACGGAAACGCCGATTGAGTAGTATCATGGGCGTGACATGATAACGTGATGTTCGTGGTGCTGTTCATTTACAAAGGAGACAGTTACCACTTACCTGATACGTGGTAACCGGCACCCATATAATGGTCAACTTGTTTAACATTCCAAATAAATAAGAAAAATACATATGTGTAGAAACAATTGTATATTAGTCACGATAATTAAAAAAAAAAAACTCATTTTATATATTAATTTAAAATTGAAATGTATCTAACTGTTGATTGACTAAAGTTTCGGTATCATTATAAATTGTACGAAATCCTGTTTAGTTAATAAAATTGATTTTTATTTCCCTTCTCTATTTACGGCTCAAATAGGCGGACAGGATGTTTTTACTTGACCTATGGGATAATAGACGCTAACATATTTAATTGTATTTTTCACAGCGATACACAAAGAACAGAAAACTAAAATAAGTCGAACCTTGACATTAAGTAAAGACCATCATGAGACCCCTATTCAATGCAAACAAGTAGACCATGACAAAATAAATAAAATGTATGAGAAGACGCTGACTATGAAACTACATAATAAAATGAGTAAGTGAACATCATCAATGTTGTCAACATCACACCCTCTTAACAACATACATCAGGTGAAAGTCGTCGTCTAGTACTTGGACTTAGAAGGCATGACTTATGAGGCACTAATGACCCTATTGTTCACAATGTACTCGTACCAATGTGAGGTCGCCCTCCACGCGCTCACTGCGGAATCCTTTGTGGTGAATTACTGCTGATTGTGCCTCATTAGGTTGACTGGCCTTCATTGGGTTACTTTATTAAAGTTTTAGCACGGATCTCATACTATTTGTACTAATACGAGTAATACCTCTATGTCGCTCGAGGATAATGAACCATTCTAACTGTGAAGTGATTTTTGAGTTGAAATATACAAAAATACAAATCTCTCCTCTTTGTGATATTAATGTAGATTCTTAGAAATCTACATTTTTAGATAAAAGAGTAGTACCTCCTCTATATGAACTTTGATCACGATACATTTTTTAGATTTTGGTATGTTCGTAAACGGTACATCACATTATGAAGATTTTGATTACGACTACAATGAAGGGGACATAGTGAATGTAACATGCACTGTACATGACTATGCTGATATAACATTAGACGTTGAGATGATTGAAGAACTTCATAAGAGTAAGTACATACAGTAAACACATAACAAACACCTATTGTGGTGTTTTATCACTTTCTTTAAAATTAAGCCAATAATAATAATAATAATTATACCTAAGGACAACACACAGCGCTATCTAATCGCAAAGTAAACAGAGCTTGTGTTGTATGTATTAGATAACTGATATATTTTTTTTGTAAATACGTACACGTTATACATAAAAATACACAAATCAATTCAAACAATTATAGTCATGAATACAAATGTTTGTACCTTGTGTGGATAATCGAACCCGCGTACATCGGACGTAAAGCGGTGTGCTAAACCGCTAGACCACCAAGGTCGTCTATAAATAAATAAGAGTAAAAAATATTTCAATGGCAAAGGATGATTTTACTTGATCTATAGGATAACAGACGCCAATATATTTGATTGTATTTTTCACAGCGACATACAGAGAAAGGGACTCTAAAATAAGTCGAAGCTTGACATTAAGTAACCGCCATCATGAGACCACTATTCAATGCAAGCAAGTAGACCATGACAATGTGAACCCAATGTTTCAGAAGACGCTGACTATGACACTACATAATAATAATAATAAAATGAGTAAGTGAACATCATTAATGTTGTCAACATTACACCCTCTTAACAACATACATCAGGTGAAAGTCGTCGTCTAGTACTTGGACTTAGAAGGCTATAATGAGGCAATAATGGCTCTATTGTTCACAATGTACCATGTCAGGTAGACCACCACGTGCTCACTGCGGAATCCATTGTGGTGAATCCACTGTTTGCCACCATAGTAGAGTAAAAATGAATGGAAATAGGTAGATGCTTAAATAGACGTCTTTTATTGCAGAGCGCAGTGACAGAAGTATTATAAAACAAAAAGTATATAAATAACATCATATTTTGAATATGCATAAAAGAATGTATAAAAACTGCCAGTGACACTCATTGTAGGTCTAACAAGTAATATAAAATACTACCGCGTTACAGTCCATTAAAAAGAATACGAAACCTGTGTCATAGTTTTTAGTGTCAAATGGGCACCGCACTTCAATTACCATTAACTACAGTGGTTTAGAATGATCTCGATGTAGCTGTTGCGGTAGTTTTTTTTATGTACTCGTAAATCGAATCGCAAACAATATGGATAATTGTTTAAGAAATCTGTAATAATTCTAGGGACATATTCCTAATTTTGCTGCGGTTTAGTAAAGAAGTGAAGAGATAATTAATTGCATTGTATTAAACAGCACTATATGTTACCTTATATTAATATTGGGCTTGGCAACTGTCTAACTCTACTGACATTATAAACTTAGATACTAAGTGTGAAAGTTTGTATGTCTGAATGTTCATTACTGAATTACGCTTAAACGACTAGACAGAGTCAAATTATGTACTTTGGTACACATATAATCATATATAACATAAAGCTCACTTGTAACCCGAGCACAGCAGTTCCCAATGGTACAGACTTCGGGATAAAATTTTACAAAATTCTAAGATTTATTTATAATATGTGCTGGAATTTAGTGTACGTAGTATGTTTTCGTTTTTTTTTCGACAATAAGCTAGTTTACCAAGTTTTAGACTTCATCCGGAAATGTTCTTCAGGCACTCGCGCCAGTATGAAGCGGGACATAGTAATTAAGACTCTCATTCTAGCTCTCAGGTCACTAAATAAATATTTCTTAACGTATTGATCAATTAATGCCGACCTCAATGAGGTTGAGGTCGGCATTCATTGAGGTCGGCATTAATTGATCAATACTTCGACAGATGCCGAGAGGCCCAAGACAGATAACAATTCGCATATGCAGAAGACCACTGATGTTGATGATGATACACATGCAGGAAATGGTATGAATTACATTACATAGTCTACTCAGAACCGTTTGTATTTACAAACTACCCAAACAAATAAATAATTGTAAATTTGTTTGGCTTAATTAGCTTCTATGTTCCTTTACGTCAAATCTTGCGACTGTAAGTTATACTGAACGCTGAAATGTTATTTACACGTTTATTTTTGGAGGACAGATCATTGTTAGGTATGGACGTTAACATTAAATCTAATATGGTGGGAGGAAGGGGATTGTTAGTAATGTGGACTAATAACCACATTACTAGCAATATACTATGTCAGGTGTACTTCCACACGGTTCCTCCTGGAAACAATACGGTAACAAATATTATGATTATTGATGATGATAAAGCAGGAAATGGTATGAATTACATTACATAGTCTACTCAGAAACGTTTGTATTTACAAACTACCCAAACAAATACATAATTGTAAATTTGTTTGGGTTAATTAGCTCGCATGTTCCTTTAGGTCAAATCTTGCAACGGAATTGTAATGTGAAATTAATTGCATTGCATAACAGTACTAGATGTCACCTCACATTAATATTCAAATTACTTTGATACCCATATAATATCGTATAGAAGGTATAGCTCACTTGTAAGCCAAATTCATAGCAGCTCCCATTGATGTGATGATAAATATGACACAATCAATTACGTGTGTGTGTTGGCGATAGTGGTGTGCCATGTTATTTGTTATGATGATTATGATTTCCACTGTCTTCTCTGTTCTACGATTTAACACCTCAGATCGAGGATTAATTATTTAAATTTATGTATATGCATGTGCAATTATAAATAAATAAATAATTCAGCCAACCCATGCGCTTTTACATATCTATATATTATATAATATTTATATCTATATAAAAATTACCTGTCACGTTGTTTGTCCGCGGTGAACTCCTAAACAACTGACCCGGTTGCAAATTTGGTGTTTACCAATAGGTGACCCGTCAGCATATTATTGTACAACAACAGTACGCATATCACGTTATCATATGTCAGCCGTGATACATGGTAACGTATCACAAACGACCCATGCGTCGTCATTCCAAGGGACAAAGATGTGAATGACAATTTTAATTGTAATGTCACCTACTGCCAAATCAACGTCCTACAACCGAGAAATTATTTATGTATGGAATGTATTCACAATTGTTTCTTGGGAGAATACCAATAGTGCTATGCATATGATTCATACAACATTCAAAAGACCATTCAAAATCGACAGACAGATAGATTCATGGTGTACCTGTTGTATTTACTTGTCAAATTCCTTTATTTGGTATGCGGCGGCGGTCTTACAAATCAACCGATTTACAGGAAGGCGGTAAAATTTTAATTATTAGATTTGACCGCCACAATAAACATTGTCAATCTGTGAGATTAACCCGGCTCATAACTTTATACCCTACATCTGGTGTACAGCATAAGAGTTTATGAAGATTTAAGAACTCTAACTAACAATGCAAGGTCATGCATTGTTAGTTGTATTGTTCATGGTTGGGTGATCAGTATAAACCCCGAGAACGTAAGGTACCTCCATGAGTAACTCCATCGATTGTTTTATTTTTCAGAAACAGTAACAAAGTTAACAATCTGCTTAGTGACTGCAGGCATTCTATTAGTTGTGTTAGTTGTGTTGCCGGTTGTGATCTTTTCCCTGGTGTACAAGACGAGAGTACGCGCCCCGCAGCCAATGCCAGAGGACGAGGTCCATTACTCTGTAGTGTATGACCATCTGATCAGACATCATCGTTAGACCACATAAACACTTATAATAATAAATAGATTAAAAACACACGGGTTATTTCATTCATCATACTAACTCACTATATTTCAGGAGACTGACGCTATGAAAGTTTTCTATTACGATTCCTAATCTTGTTATATGCAATAATGTTTAAAATTTGATATTTTTTTGGGATGAAGTGCGTAAACAAGTTTTCCTGTTTCGAAATCTATTGTGTTAATAATTTTATACCAGGCCTTCTAATCCAGCAGTACTAATATTATAAATTCTGAGCTATGGCTGAGCGACTGAAAGAATTTTAATAAAATTATTATGATATACATATATGTAGACTGTATCATAACCTGATAATCTGAATCTTTTATCTGAAAAAAAGAGACATCGCCAGTTACAGCTGGTATTGCTGCTATTTTATGTTCTGTTCTATTTTGAAACTATCTATATATATATATAAACTATTTATATATATAGATAGTTATATATATATATATATATTTATATATATATATATATATATATATCAGTACAATTTGAAAGACTCTTTACACTTTATAGTCATGCCTGCTGCAAACGGCAGATTAATATCACGCTATAACCTTCAGTAGCTAAGTAAAAAGGGAAGAAACGCAATGTGGTGCCGCCATTTTTCTTATATTAAACGGTAAGTTGTATGAAACCACGCACGAGGATATCTAGTGCTAGATATAATCAAACTTACTGCTCCTACTTATCGTTTAATCTAAAGTCTCAGGGCGCTTGCTGTTTAAAGAAAAATATTCTCAACAATTAGTAATCTCAATAGTAAGTATATGCAATGCTATTTTATATGTACTGTATATAGTATCGCAAAAGTAAAAATCCTAAAATAATTCAATACTTATTTTCATTCAAAATTTAAATATTTCAATTTAGTTTTTGCAAATAAGGTCTTTATCCGATGAGAGCTCACGCTTAATTGAGTTACCTAGGATATCAACAAAATACTGATATAGACTAGTACTCGTATATAGTCTTAGAAATAACTACGTCCTTCCTTACTAATATTATAAATGCGAAAGTAACTCTGTCTGTCTGTCTGTCACGCTTACACGCTAAAACTACTGAACCGATTTAAATGACATTTGGTACACAGATAGTCTAGACCCTGAGAAAGGACGTAGGCTACTTTTTAACGCGAATAAAGGGTTGTAAGGGGTTGAAAGGGGAGATAAACGGTTGTATGGAAGTATTATCATTTTTAAAACTAGATGAATAAACTTTTTTTAGGCTGTTCTTTAAATACTATAGATAAATATGACTAAGTTTGTAATATAATAAATAATTGTTGCGCTTAAAAGGGTAAAAAATAGGGGATGAACGTTTGTATAGAAAATCGACATTTTTGAAGCTGTAACCAGGAATCTTTTTTCAAGGTCACTATATGTAACACGCGGACGAAGCCGCGGGCACAGCTAGTATGTTAAAAGTCTCGATAAGGAGTGTATTATCATATGAGCTAGAAAGAAAATAAAAGCTATTAACAATTACGCAATACAGATATTGACCTACTCGTTTGGAATTATTAAATGGATAGATAGAGAACTTGACGCACTTAATGCCAAAACAGTATTTAATAAAGAAACATTCATCATATTCATTCAGCAACAGAGAGGTTCACTTTGAGAAGAAATATGGAAGGCAGAGTAGTTTCTCGTCTATATTATACTAGAGTTGCTAACTCACTAATATATTTCATAGATCATTCTAGTAGTAGCGTAATATAATAATAATTTAATTGCTCAAAAAACAAAGTATAAAAGATGATAATTAAAGCTTAGTATCATGTGTTTTGCCATAGTAGTGGCATGCAAAATAGTATTGTTTAAAATTATACATAATTAACTATACAGAAAGAAATAATAATAATAATAATTGTGTACTGTGTCATTGTATAGGTTTTAGCAAGTACCGATCTATTAGAATTTCTAGTATTTCTAGGATAAATGTCCTTAGTCCTATCTATATAAACCTATCTGCACAACATCAACTTCAGGTACAGTGTTAGATTTTGCAAACAAAGATTTCCATCGTACAATTCCATCCTACAAAACTAGAAAGCTAAACGGAAAATATCCTCAACAACTACAACAACCTCATGCAGATATAGAAGTTACAAATCATTGGTGAAGTACAATAAATATATATGCTAAAACAGAAGGATTTATATTATATAACAGGATAAAATAATTAAAACAAACAAAATATTACAAAAAATAATAATAAAATCCCACGACAATTAACACAGCACCATCTAGTGATAGACAACTGATATAAACACATTTAAAATCCATAATATTTATATGTGTCTACGCACTCAACGCACCGCTCCGCGGGCTGCGGGGGCGGTGCTCGGCCGGTGGCGGACACCGGCACTTCTTGTCCGACAGGCATCGACACTTACCGGCTTACAAATAATCCCACCATTCTATATTTAATGTGCATCTGTCTGTAGTTCATAACAGTTTTTATATTATACCTATTAATACAGTCCACTAGTTTCATTGGCTATCCAGGACGTAACAATATGCAAAAGTAAATTTTTCTTTTAAATCTTGTGAGAGTTTAATTATAAGGGCGTCCCTTAATCGACACGGGTTCCTTTATCAATGTATTCTCAGCAAACTGTTGCTTTTATAGGAAGCTTTCGCTCCCAGGCGACTAAATGCTGGAATAATGTCCTCCTCCCGTAAGTACCATTACTTCATAACTGCCCTTTAAAAAAAAGCTGAAACTTTTTTTACTAGACATACGGTAATGTAAATATATAGATTTTGGTCGCTTAGGTAGCGATCTACTTCAATAGTTATTTAATTTTTTATAATAAACTCACAGAATCTGCTCTAAATCTGACAAAGAGGCAATTTGAATTCGAGTGCGAATATAGTATTACACTACCACATGGTCATTTTAAGTAAAATGTCCACGTATGTGGCGGGATGGTGGGCTCCCTAATGTTTCTAATGATATGGCCGAGCGCAGTGATGTTGGCTGGCTCATCAGTTACACTCGTGAACTCTTGTTGCATGTAGCGACTGGTCTGCTCTAAGCACTACGACTAATTTAAAGTTACTATTTAATATTTGACCCTAATCAATTAGTGCTAGTTGTTAGTGTTACATTTTATTAACACATTTCTGCAAATGTAAAGTTAAAAAGGTTATTTAAAAGACCAACATGCAAGTTTCTTAGTCGTTTTTCT